CTTCCCCCCCCCCCTTCCCTCCCCCCCTACAATAAAGCATGCAGTTTGCAGGATTTAAAAGGTATTCTATTTTAATAGATGAGTTATCAACTATGATCGGTTTGTAAAAGCGACCATGAAACATAACCAAATTTTATCCCAAGACATGGTTTGTCTCTGGTTTGTTAAATTTTGAGCGAACGAAGCTCGTCTGCTGGCAGAAAACTGAAAAGCACAAGCTCTATTTACTATTGGTCTAGCAAAGGTGAGGGCGCAAGGAAAAAAACCACGGGCCTCGTGTTGGCACAAAAATGGGTGCAGTCTAAACACAGTGCCTGCCTGTGGTCATGAACGTAGTTGTCTGGTAATCAATTGTCTTTTATTATTTTAGTTACTTCCTCATAGCTTGCAAGGGATCTTCCCTTAACCCGACGTTTCCTATGGTGTCCTCAGTCCGAAAAGAAGAGGTATTTACTTGAGTTATATTTAAAGAAGTAAATCAGTTTTGCCGTGGACAAATCATTTTGTCTAGCCCTAATGACCATGGTACAAAGTGTCAGGAAATGAGGCAATTCATCGACTCTCTGGCTCAATTATTAAAGGAAACTGCGCGCTGTATATTCATACTACTAGCGTAAATAACTCTTTCCTGGGTACAGTTCTTTCTATTTTTTGACGATACTCGCTGACGTTGAAAACTTTGTCCTCGAACTCTTTTGTTGGCTCTGCTCCAACAAAAGGTAGCTGTCTCAAAACTGATCCTTCAAATTAGACATTCATGCTCTAAGCATAGAAAGATCTTAATGGAAGCCCTCTGTGAAACATCAGTGTCCCGAGATTAACTGATTACCCTCCAGCCGTGGAAAGGTCAACATGTCTAATTACCTGTTTACTGATGATATAATTTTCAGTTACTCTCTTTGACAATGGCACACAAAAACAAACACTATTGCGCTGTATTATACGTTATCCTATACCTGGAAGAAAAAGAGCCAATGAAGTCATAAATTCCCATTTATCGTTTTAGTGAATGTGTAACCAGTAAGAACATTCCTTGGGCACCAAGCGCTTCCAGCGATGTCTTTACAGGGAAAGGTATTTAACTCTTTATGTCTTAAATAATTCGCTAACTCGGTAGTTCGTCTATAAAGAAGCTGTATCACCGGGTACCATGTCTCTCCGCCCAGGTGTAAAAATGGGTACTGGCGAATTTAATGCTGGAGGTAACCCTGCGATGGAACAGCAGGGAGCAGAAGAAATATTCTTAGTCACTTCATGCTGCAGAAACCGGGGATAAGCGTCGGCCTGATGGGCCACGTGACTCGTATGCAGCCTGCGTTTTTATCAACGGGTACACAATATTTATTTCATCATTTACTTATTTTTCATCAAATTGAAGGAAGCCCCGTAAAGAAGTTTTGTAAGACAGCAGTAGGCATTTTTCGCTTTCTTCGTTTTAAAACTGAATTTCTCTTCTCTCCTTCATGGGACAAACTTTGAGGCCGGGAATCCACCAAAATCGTTTCAGTTATAACTCCACTTACCTTGTTCACAATTGCATGGTTTATTTCAGGAGTCAGAATCATCGAGCTCTTCCCAGGAATCCAGTGGAGGAGAATTTCAAGAAAATAGTGAAGCACACTCATCATCAGGAAGATTAAAAGTTACTTTCCTGGCATCAGAATGGAGATCAAGTAAAGGAGGACTTTCCACTTTAAACAGAGAGTTAGCAATAAACGTTGCAAAAAGTCCTAATGTAGAGGTCACCTTCTTTGTTCCACGATGCAATGACGACGACAAGAAAGCAGCTCTTGGCCACAAGATTAATCTTGTTCAAGCAAAAAGGCTGGTTGGTATGGATGAGTTGACATGGCTTAACTTTCCACCAAATGATTTACAAATTGACATAGTTGTTGGTCACGGTGTCAAGCTCGGTCCTCAAGCACAAGTTATACGAAAGTCACACCAATGTAAATGGGTTCAGGTTGTCCATACTGCCCCTGAGGAACTTGGGATGTATAAGACATATTCGAACCCAGTATCTGTGAACGAAAAAAAGCATGAAACGGAAGTCGCACTTTGTAAAATGGCTGACTTAGCTGTTACTGTTGGACCCAAATTGAGTGAGGCTTTTCGTGCTTATCTTCGCGGCTGCAAGAAAGATCAAATGGTAGTTGAATTTACTCCTGGAATTTTGGCTGAATTTTCTGAAGTCCACCAGGTTGTTGATGAAAGGGAAAAATTCCGAGTTCTGGTTTTTGGGCGTGGCGATGACGAAGATTTCGAATTGAAAGGATTTGACATTGCAGCCAAAGCTATTGCTACCTTAGATGACACACATCTTATTTTTGTTGGTGCACCAGATGGAAAGCAAGACGACGTTAAAATTCGTCTGCTCAAGTGTGGCATCCTTGCTCAGCATCTAACTGTTAGAACCTATTTACAAAGCCGGGAGGGTTTGAAAAACTTACTTTGCGAAGTGGATCTTGCAATCATGCCTTCGAGAACGGAGGGATTTGGCTTGACAGGTCTTGAAGCCTTATCAGCTGGTCTGCCCATTCTTGTAAGTGGAAACTCCGGGTTTGGAGTTGCACTGAGTAAAGTACCTTTCGGTTCATTTTTTGTGATCGATTCAGAGGATTCCGAGACATGGGCCAAAGCTATCAAGGACGTCGGGAAGAAAGACAGGTTTAACCGTCTTCAGGAGTCCAAAGGATTGCGTGCCTCATACGACAATAAGTACAATTGGGAAGCCCAAACTAAATCTCTCATTAGTAACATGGCCCGCATAATTGAAGGTATGAATATTTTCAGTATCACCTTTGATTTCATGGCCTGTCCGTGATTGCGTTATATTTACTTATAAAACAGCAGACATCATTTTCTTGATCTCGTTGGGGGCATGGAATTCTGTAAAAGTGCGGCTGTATATTCTTCCTTGCAATCCTTGGACTTAAAAGCAAATTAGAAAACAGCGTTCAGTGGTCACATTTGATACTCAGCATTTTTATCTCAAAAAAAGGATAACCTGGAAGAGCTTTTGCGAAATTATATCTTACATAGAAGTTTATATAAGTGCTATCACTGTATAGCTAGCCGAAGTAAGCTGTTATGTTTTCTTTTGGTAGATTCTCCAGCAGCTAATCCGAGCTCTTCAAGAAGAACAGCACTGGCTCAACAAACGGAAGTCATGAGTGAGCGTCCTCCAGGTATCGTACCTTCTAAGCATACGTTTGTGGAAACGTCTGTTTTGTCGACAGGTGTAATGACTTTATCAATCAGATGTGTCGAAAAGTCTGCAAATTGTGAAATCTCCAAAAAGGAATTACAAACACTAAAGACTCATTCATAATCAATAGAATTGTCAACTCGATTCACAGGCAACTCGAAACCACCTCGAAAATGTTGTAGAAAATACAAACCAGAAAAATCAACAAGCTCCCACCAGTATTTGTGAACAACTGTTGTTATTAACAATCAGTTCAAAGTTACTCCGATGTTTCAGCTGGGCTCGTTTGCGTACACATCGGCTTTTACACCGTGGCTATAAAACATGAAACCTATTAGCTATCATTCAGTAGTAAAATGAAAGACTTCGGTTCAGCTGGTAAAAATATTTAGTTTTTAGTGCTACTAAAGCAAAGGTGGACCCCACTCTTTTAACAGAACCACACCTAGTGAAATCTTCTTGTTGATATATTTGTGTCCAATTTCTGGAATCAATTTCTGGCTGCAGTCACATCAACGCGTTAACTAGTTTGGTCTGCTTAGTTTTTACTTAAATGATGTCAGACTTAACAGTAGTTCGTGGGTGCAGTCGACTTTGTCATCGCACCATTGCCGTTTGTAGTTACCCTAATAACTTCTGTTAGAATTTTGAATGACGTCAGATCTAAACGTATCGTACAACTGTACCTGTAGTTTATGACCGCCCTAATTTAATGATCTGTGAAATGTTGACCGAAAAAGGTTTTGTCCGGTTGTCGTTCTCGTTTCATGTTAGGGAGCTTAAGCGAACCACAACAGCAACGGCAACTATTCATGTGCGTTATAAATCTTTGAACATTTCTTTCCCTTCCTCAGCAAAACTACAACGTGAAATGACCAAGTTCTGCGCATTTTGGACAGCGTAGGCCACGACGGCAAATTTGTCGGTTTTTTTTTGGAATTGATCACTGGCAATACACATTTAGTTTCAGCAAGTCTTCAGGCCAATTGGTGCCCTGAGCAGATTCAGATGGCTACGAAATTCAAATATATAGGTATAGTTTTTACTAGGTGTTGTTCGTTCTGTAGCATTTTGTAATAAGTTACGCATTTTGTAATAGCGATTGCGGTATTTTGTAATAATGTGCGCATTGTGTAACAAAGTGTGCAGCATTTTGCAATAAATCCAACCTACGCATTTTGTAATAAAGGCTGCAACATTTTGTAATATTTGTAAGTGTACGCAAATTGTAATAATGTCTCACCCAAATTGTAATAAGTTCTTTCAAATGATGTTAATGTGGTCGTCATTCCTTAAGGTCCCTTTTTGCGTCCAGGAAAAAGTCGTCCAAAAGTTAAACTTTTTAACCCAGCTTCAAGGCATGTTCCTTTGTATTTTATTGTTTTTTATTGTTTCTTTTTTCAACCTGCTGTTTTTCACACTTGCTTTTATTTCGCATGATTACGTTCATCTCGCACGTGCTAGACTGCCTCATGATAGGGTTTTCGTTTGTGAACTTAAGCTTCATCCTGTGTATACACATAGTATGTATTGCTTTAGACTGGAATTTATCGACTATGGTTAGAATGAATAAAGAGGTCATACTACCCGGTTAAATAGCTCACCAAAGTTATGTCTATCTTAGCTTTATTTACGGCTTTGATGTGACCACATCCATTCACTCAATATGGTAAAAAAATCAAATTTGAAGTGTGGAAATATTAAAGCCATCTAGATTAAATTCTAACATGTTCTTGACAAATTTAAAATTCAATGTCCTTTGACAAAAAAGAGAGAAAAAAAAAGAGTGCCGAGCCGATTGCAGAATGTGCGAAAATTTCAAAATTATTTGCTGTTTCTGTATAGAACATTTCACAAATTGACGTCAGTTTTTCATGCATCTGTCCTGTCATTGACAATGAATTTTGTCATAGCATTGTCAAAGCAGCCTGCGGATCCACGAGGCGATCGTCTCGTGGATCCGCAGACTACTTTGACAATGGTAGGACGAAATTTATGATCAATAACAGGACAGACGCATGAAAAACTGACGTCAATTTGTTTTTACGATAAAAAATTGTCAAATTGTCCGCTCTCGCTCGTTGCCGCGTCGTATAAATTATAAATTCATGTTTCTGTCTGCTTATTGAAAATGAACATTAGCCGATGAGCGCGCGAGAATTTCTGCAGTTATCGTAAAAAAAATGCTCGAAAACCTGCTAAAAACTTAAAATTGCGTTTTCTAACATGAAATTTATCCAGCCATTTTGCGTCAAACTCCGTCCGAGTGGATTGCTAGGTTCCAGAATATTTCTGTATTGATTTGTATTGGAGAAGTTGTTAGAGTTATAACCTTTTGATATTTAGCGGTTTGTGATGGAACGAATAATGCAACGGTCGAACATTATGCAAATATGCTGTGTGCGCAGGGAGACAATCCGACGCAGGAAATGGCCACGTAAACATTCTAGCTTTTGTTTATTAATTTTTTTACTGGCCTCATGCAACTTAAAATAACTGAATTCTGTTGTATTTTTTCGTTCCATCGCAAACCGCTTAAGATTGAAGTTGTTCTATCAAACCTTCGGTTTTAGGTTTTTACAAATCGCTTTCCGAGACAAATGTGTAACATTTTAACAAATTTTCATGTTTGCTCCAAATCAGTTCTTGTTCTTACTAGCTAAGTTGACTACTGAAAATCTGCGGGAGATGAATTGTTTTTGTTAACTGCAAATTGTAGTGATATTAAAATTGTATTTTTTAATTTTGAAAACTACAGTTTGTTATTTCAGATGTAAATAGCTTCCTCATTTGGATTGTTTTTTTCATTTGCAATATTTGACAACAGAAACTCACAAGTCGTCGACAGCAATAGTGTCAATAGTATCTGTATTATAAAGTTTTCAGAATGCCTTGATGCTACACATGTAATTAACGAAATCTCATCAAAATATGTTAAAAGTTATAATCGTAAGTCACTTATATTCATTCATAACTTAAATGTTAACTCTTACTGTAATGTTTATGACTCTTTTTAAGGTACCCTACCCATTGTACTCAAAATGAACAGTGTTGAATTTCGAAATGCACAAAGCAGAGATCCTGTGCAACAAGAGGAAGCCAAGCGGCTTGTAATGAAGGAGATGACAAAATGCTTTCTTGAGACACATGCATCTCAAGTCCCGGTTGAGAACTACCTTCTTTGTCTTGATTACTATTTAAAAGGAGCTCTCGACTTAAAAGTAAGAGAAGCAATCGAGGGAAGTTTGCTGATAACAGTGGAATGCAGGACTCTGGATATTCTCGAACGTCTGTGGGAAGACTACTGTTCTGGTAATTTGAATGCAGAAGCCGAGGAACGCCTTTTGACAGACGATATCAAGAGACGGTTTGATGTGGAATTCGTTAAGCTGGAAACAACTATTTTGGAAAACGATTACCTGGCTTGCAAGCTGTTCCTAATGGACAAATCAAGTGAGTCAGCAATCTGCAGTTTTATGTGCTGGTCTGCTTAAGGTGTTTGATATTAAACATTCCACAATCTATAGCGTACAATGTATTTAGTATGATCTTCCCTTGGTTTTTCTCTTCGTTGGTTACATTCAATTAAATTCGATATTCGAAACATATAGGATCCCATATATTGCCATCGCTTTTGAACTGGATTACTACAGTTAAGTGACCACGAACAAGTCACTTTGATGTTTTGTTTATAGAATTCAAATATATTAATTCATTTTATCAATTTATTTTTTCGTCGTTAATTTATTAAATCCTCCGCTCTAATGCCTCTTTAGGAAATGGCAAATCAAAATTTGAAAACAATCTATAACTCTCAATTTATTGTTGGTCTTAAAAATATTGGGTCAAAACGGAGTAGTCCTGAAATGAAAGTCAATTTCTGTTTTCTTGCATACTTAAAATAATTGAATTCTGTTATATTTTTTTCGTTCCATTGCAAACCGATAAAGACCTACGTTGTTCGACCAAACCTTCTGATTTAGTGTTTTTACAAATTGTTTTGCGAAACAAATGTGTAACATTTTAATAATTCAATGCTTATTTTTACTAGCCAAGTTGACCACTGAAATTCTGGAGATGAATAGTTTTGTTAACTGCAAATTGTAGTGATAAATTGTATTTTTTAATTTTGAAAACTGCAGTTTGTTACTTCAGATGGCTTCCCCATGATGTCTTGTATTAATACAAGTTTTAAGTCATTGCTTACGCTAGAAAAATAGGCATCAAAAGAATTTGCCTCAAACATGCTGGTTTGTGGTTTAAAATTAAGTATCTGTTTAACTCCCTTCCATATTTTTTTACTATCACCAATATTGTCATGGAGCTAATTGTTGTAATATTCTTTCTTAGATATTTATATACCTGCATATAAAACAAGAAACATATTATCACAACAATGCTAATGCAATTACGTTTTTCAACGAATTCCTAGAAGCGAACCAGGACTCGTCATTGAAGGAAGATGAATCACTGCCCCAAGACCATGCTGACCAAGCTGCTAATGAAATTCAGTCTCAAACAGCTGAAGAAGCTGAACCAATGACGGTCCACTTTGCAGTAAATTGTAAGTTACAATCTTTTTTAAGTAGTCACGAATATCAACAAAACATAAGCCACTGATCAAATACTTTTTATGTGCCCTTAGGTCCAGGACAAATTTGAGGCATGCAATCGAGAAGAAAGCCACAGATATTTTTAAGTTTTAAGAGTGAATGTTAGTAAAAATCAATGGAAATTCTAAAAATGTGGCCACGGTCGAAAAATCGATTTCGCTCATACTTTGCCAGTTTGAAGGCCTAGGTAAGTAACTAAAGGAAATCAAGTTAGTTTTTTGAAATATCCAATATAACGGCAGAAATTCACGAAAAACGGTCATTTTACCGAAAGCTCAGATTTCACCTCGCGATAATCCGAAATTGTACACTTTTCAGCTTCTTGTTACACAGACGTTTACATCGCTGTGAAACATTCTCAACTTTAAATGAATACATTGATTCTTCCCTAATCAAAATATAATGATTATTTTCATTTCTTGTGTTTCCTGAGCGAACTGAGCCCCGATAAAGTAGACATACTTTTCAAATAGAAACAAAACTCAAAAGTTATGTAAATTCAGTGAGGAAAAAAGCTGACCGGTGGTGCTTCAAATCGTCTGATCTTCTAGCAAAAGACAGTTCAGTCACTGAATTTTAGGTTTACAGTTTTATTTTTGTGAGATCTACTAGCAATTTTGCATGAATGCCGATCAAAATTCGAGAAAATTGTAGTTCAGCCCCTTTGAAATTTGCAATGTAACACAACACGCTAAAATAGGTAGAAACATTTTTGTTCGCTTGAGACAGGGAAATCAAAGCATATTAATGTCTTAAACATTTGAAACGCTTTAAAAGTAGTATTTAACTTAATAGCCGACAAGAATTTTAAAAAAAAAACGAAAAAGAAACACCTAACTTTTAAATCGCACTCTCCTGATTTCTTTCGCTGGCCAGTGTCACGCTCGGGCAACTAAAAATTTGAAACCATTGGTTCACCGTTCAAAATGAGTCAAATTTTAATAAGATCTTTGCTGTTGATGTGCAAAACCTTGCATTAATAAAAGAGAATTGCCTAGTTAAAGTGCCACTAACCCCAAAATTGTTTTCCCTAATATAAATTTCCTTTTTCTCCTGATCACCATTGCGAAGAAATTATCGTTGTAGCTATTTTCGTTAATTTTCTATGAATTTTCAAAGTTTGTAAATTTGCCCTTTTCCATGTTCACGACCGAGGAATACCGGAGAATGGGACGAGTTGGCTTTTGACGTCACTTCAGGAATAACAATATTTTTTTTCTGAGAAGAATGTATGCGCGCATGCGATAGTGTGTGTCAAAATCGTTGCAGAATGCAAGGAAGATATGTTGTTGCCGGCTGTAGCAATACAGGATGCGTAGAATAGAGTATTCCTCTTCATTCAATACCTCTATGTCGATGAAACTCTACCAGAAACGAGAAAAAGACCAAAGAAGTGGGCTGTTCTGTGCGAAGCTAAAGCCGGGGGAGCCATTGAGGATTTCTTCGATCTCGAGTTCGCCGCTACTGTAAAAACGTAGAGATTTTCATCGCCTGTATATTCTTCTCTATCTCTGGTGGAAAGCTTGAAATTGTCAAGGTACTGCATAAGACACGAGTTTGGGATAAGCTGGAAGCCATGTGACTATTTCGAGCGCAAACGATCCTCCGACGCGAGTCCCAGACGAAACTATACATAGGTGACGAAATTACACGGGAAATTAAACGGATCGCGTTTTGAAATAGTAAACTAAACCTACGTTCTACAACGACGCGAAGAAGATTGTTGACACTTCGAACTGGTGAACTAGCTATGTATTTGTGGATTTTGATAAAAACACCCGCACGCCGGAGGTCGCTTGTCATGTAATCTGGCCGTGTTTCTCAATGGCCATTCCGAATACAAACTTGTTTTGCTCTTTGAGTTTCGTCTTTGAGGAAAGAAATACATCTAAATTACAAACTTAAAATGGATCAAGCATTTATAAATATATGAGGAAAGTGAAACAAACGATTAAGATTCGACCTTATCGCTACCGACGGAGATTGTTGTGCTGAAAGAAGAATGCGCTTGTCAGTCAACCGAAACGCACACTAGTAAGTCGAGGACTCCCAGGTTATTAGCGTGCGTAAAATGGACATTTCATTCAAAATAACAGGGAAGTAGAAATGTATTTATTTAACTGAAAGTATAGTGAACCTCTTTTCAAGATCTTGTCGAAGGATTTTCCATGATTTCACTAGTACGGAATATGCAAATTTGCGTAGCTTGTGTTCGTACACAGTAAT